GAGAGGAGAAAGAGAGTGTTTAGAAAAGCACAAGTACGCCAATTAATACGCTAAAGACACTTTTTCATTGAGGTGCATAAGCGAATTCCTGACGAATGCAAAGCTACAGCCTGTGGTACGACTGCTGCGTTGAATTATAAAGTAAAGCAAGTATTGCCAAGTATAAGTACATAGCGTGACGAAGCGCTGAATAGCCCAGGGTTAAAATGCTCGCTGATACCTGTGACACTTGCATTGTACACCGAGAGGCTACAACAAGAACAAGTTCACTGAGAGTTTAGGGTCGCAACATGTAGAAGGATATATCCCTGAGCATAGGCTCGTTAATCATTTAGCTAGAACTCGTCGTTGACGTGAGAGAGAGAGAGAGAGCGAGAGGTGAGACAGAGAGTAACTTCAGTAAGGTACATCCGAGCTGCCAGCATATTATCGTGTCCCCTGACACACTATCTATACTCGCTACACGGCGGTGAAGTTTGGTTACGAATACTTATAAGCAATGAGAGGGGTTTATGCGCTATATAACAAGAACTCTGCGAGCAGATACACAGAGAATGAGCTAGGGTGCATTGATGAGGATGGTAAGATGACGGTGATGCCCGTCAGCATTAATACTCTGAACACCACGACAGGAAAATGCTGGTCTGCTACTACCCATCAGGAGAACGCGAATACAAACACCCCGCAAGAGAACAGCACGGAAGCCACCAGGCACCTGGGAAGCAGGGAGAGCGACTGTCTGTCACACACCGACCACGGCTGGGCCTGGATCGTGCTAGTTGGCTCCTGCATCAATGCGTTTGTTCTAGGCAACGCCGGATCGTGTTTCTCTGTGCTCATTGTAGAGTTTGTGTCGGTGTTCACGGAGAAGAAAAGTGAGATTGCCCTTGTAGGCTCACTACAATATGGAGTCACATTGATCTCAGGTAAGATATCGTCATCACGAACATTTTAATACATAGGTAAATGTGAACCTCGCCTCTCTTGTCATCTGACATGCGCACGTTTTTGCGGTTTTATAAATGGCGGCCCTTGTTGAATAGTCAAATGTTTGATGGCCCTGGTTATTTTTCAAATTGAAAATCCTAGAATTCTCAAGCACGCATATATTTCTCAATTGAATGCGTGTATTACAATCAACATTTAACATCGATACATATTTCCCGCAATGACCCTATTTTACGTGCGTTACTTCATAGCACGAGTTACTTACTGTTAACCCAAGTTATTTCTTTTGCTATTAGGGTCTGTGTTCAGCAGACTGTGTGAGGAGAGTAGCTATCGGTTGGTGATCATGGCGGGAGGGGCGTTTGCTACATGTGGTATGACCCTCAGCTATGTCAGTAACAACCTCACTGCACTAATCGGTGCCTATGGCGTGTTGACAGGTAAGTGAAAGTGGCGGACCTTCATTCCCGTAATAAATTCACGCGTGGCAATCGCGTACTCACTTTAAAAAAATCATAGTTTCTCTACGTGTTCCTTGAAAATATTGTCACATGATCTATATAATGCGTACGTGGCGTTTTTTTTATTATATATAAACGGGCACTAGGCGTGTGTACTGTGTAGTATATGAACCAATATAGCCAAATTGCAGCGATGTACTAACCAACAACTCTGGTTATTTGCAGGCGCAGGAAGAGGAATGATTTATGCTCCTTCACAAGTCATTACTGCACTTTATTTCGATAAGAAACGCGCTCTGGCAACGGGTCTCGTACAAACAGTATCAGCAGTTGGCGCATTAACCGGTCCTTTACTGTGCGTTTGGATACTAGAGCTTTATACCTGGCAAGGTGCGATGATCATTATAGGTGGCATGTATCTCCAAACCGTCGCAGCTAGCGCCCTCTTGCGAGACATACCAAAAACAGCTAAAGAAGCACTGAAGAAACTCAGAAGTAAAGGCTGGTTTATGATGCCCGCTACCGACATGATGAAATTCGGACTTCACTGTTGGAGTAACCTCGCGTATGGATTCGGTATGAGCATTGTGATGACGTTCTGTGTGTTGTACGGCACCAGACAGGGCATGAGTCTCGCATTAGCTGCACTGATGCTGACCATGCTAAACATCAGCAATGTACTGAGTCGCCTCCTGGTGGCAGCCGTAGGGGACAGGCGATGGTTCCCGCGGCAGCTTGTCTTCGGCGCCGCGACCCTGGCAGGTGGAATCATCAGCCTCATGTTTCTGCTCGCGGGGGAACTGTGGGTGTTCGCGCTTTGCTGTGTGATGTACGGAACTAGCTACGGCGCAAAACTGAGCATTCAAGCATCCATTTTAGTTGACCTCTTCGGCATACATAATATACCCATGGTGGAGTCCGTCTACTATCTCTTCAATGGCGTAGGAGGACTTATTGGACCGATGGTAGCAGGTATAATATGCAGTGAAGGGTACACAAGGAGTTAGCATAATGTTACACATTGTTAACATATTCTAACCATTCAATAGTTAAGCAGTAACACGAATCCGGGTTTTTACTACAGGCGCTCTGATGGACTACACTGAAAACATGACTGCAGTCTTTATTCTGTGCGGAATCACGGGTATTTGGAGTGGAGTGTTGCAGGGTGGCGCCCTCTACATTCACTACAGGCAAATGCGTGGGAGTCGCGCATCACTGCATCTGATACGCACGCAAACAGCGGAGAGCACGATCAAGGAAACACGTTTTTAATCAGCGCATCATAGATGAACGCAAGCATTTACCAGATTTTATAGTAGTATCAATAACTCTATATATTCGCCCCAACATTATTAATCCACCCTACTTTGACGTGTGAAGCCAAGGTGTCTATTTTTATCTAAATTGCATTAATTGCAATAAATAAGGGAAAGTAAAGCAAAATATGTGAAATTAGCCCAAATTTCTCCCTTGGAAAAATGCATGGAGCATTTATAGTTTCAGTGAGTTGTGTGAGATCATCGCATCACGTGAATAATGCGTGATAACATTTTTATCATGGACGTGATTCGAGGTCCAATTTTGACTGAGAATCTTTCGTTTGTTAGATTTCCTGCTCTTCTGCTTTGCATAGACGTTAGGCTGGATAAGCTGGCTTGGTTACGTATGTTCATTCAGACCAGCCACCCCAGTTCACTAAGCACACGTACGCACACACACGCACACGCACAAACATTTATACACGCACACGTGAAAACATACGAACGCGCACAAACATATATACACGCACACGTGAAAACATACAAACGCGCACAAACATTTATACACGCACACGTGAAAACATACGAACGCGCACAAACATATATACACGCACACGTGAAAACATACGAACGCGCTCAAACATTATACGCACACGCGCAATCAAACAGCACGTATACGCACACACTCATGGATACGTGTCATGGATAAGCACTCGAAATAAGCATACGCACAAGTAAACAACACGCATACGCACAAGTAAACAAGCATACGCACATGTAAACAACACGCATACGCACAAGTAAACAACACGCATACGCACAAGCAAACAACATGCATACGCACAAGCAATACAACGACGGCATACGCACAAGGTAAAATCATTAGTAACGCCAGCAAACAAGAGCCGTAAACAACAGCTACGGCCAGCAAGTCAAACAACACGCATAGCCACACAAACAAACACAGCATAACGCACAGCAAACAAGACATACCCACATGTAAAAGCAACGCACTGTAAACGCATGCGAAAGTAAACAACAAGCATAACGCACACAGCATACGGCACAGCAAACAAACAGGCCGCATGACGCAGCACATAAGTAAACAACACGCATACGCACAAGCAAACAACAAGCATACGCACAAGCAAACAACAAGCATACAAGCAAGTAAAAAACACGCATACGCACAAGTAAACAACATGCATACGCACAAGTAAACAACATGCATACACACAAGCAAACAACACGCATGCGCACAAATAAACAACACGCATACGCACAAGCAAACAACATGTATTCGCGCAAGTAAACAACACGCATACGCGCACGCAAGAACACGTGCTCAAAAGCGTGTGCATTGGCGACCCGATGCGGGGAACAATAGCAAGTGCGCGGAAGCGACAGCGCTCATCTAACGTCTATCTGCCGGTGACTCTGTGGTGAGTGGTGAGATTGCTAGTAAACCTTGTTAGTCCTAAAGGTGTTTCACATCGCCGCCGAAAAGTGGAAGGCACAGAGATTGCGCTATCAGGAACATTCTCAAAGGATGTTCGTTGGAGTCGTTTATGAAGTTGCGCACGTTGTGACATTGTAGCCTCATACATCCAGCATGTATAGATTTACTAGCAAACCCGGCATGTCAGAATTTTTCTAAACAGGAAACCAAATCCATGTTTAACGCCTCCTCTTTGAGGGGTCAAAAGGTTATCTGCGACACTTACTCTCGCATGTCAATCAGAAAGTACATTTTCATGTCCTTTCAATAAAGCCATAAAAATGCTAGGTCACCGCTGAACAAAAAAAGTTTTTCACATCGCCTCGTCAGGACCTAAAAAAATATATTTAAAATCTGCCCTGTGCCCATTGACCTTTGACCTTTGACCTCAAATTTCGGCAGCAGTGATGGCTTCTTCCTACCATTGATGCTATACACCAGCCTAAAAAATTACTCTTTTTTTATACGAGCAGCTCTTTTTTGATTTGTATGAAAAAAGAGCTCTCGTAATTTTTTTTAGGGAGTATTTTTGGCTTGGCCAGAGCTACTTTTACATTTTAGCACTGATTTTGTCTAAAAATTTTCATAATTTTGATGTACTGATACTAAAATCATTTCATCAGCATCAGCACTCAGCACAGTATTCAGACTATCAGGTAACGAAATCGTACAAACACAATGTACATTCGATACATTTTTTAAATCTCATTTTTATTGACTAAGCAAACCAATCCATTCTTATTCAATTTCATTCCCAGACAGACATGCACTCACACAGTACATCATAGTCAGGTAAACAATGGACAAAGACAGGCAAGTCAATATCTAATTATTCTATCGGTTAATGAATGGTATGGCTTATTTTCAAGATTCTTTTTTTAATTATATTTCTTTTGATCTTTCAACTTTCTTTGTTGATGACTGAGCCAAGTCAGAAACTTACAGTAGAGATTTTTAGGGTCTGTAGTTGATATGATGCTCACAAAAACTTGTACTGAAAATAGCTTCTAGGAATGCGGGAGCTGCTGGCAAGTTTACTTTCGCTTTTCTTCGCTGACCCCAGTCCACGGTACCCTCCCATCGCATAAGATCAAATGCGTCGACAAAATCTCATGCAAACGGTTACAGAGCTGCTACGAACTCTCGTTTGCATGCTATTATAGCTCAGATGTTACATTTGCTTCTGCCTATCGATAGAATGTGGAATAAAATAATCATCTTTTCTACGTTAAAGGCTCACTCAATTGCCATCCTCAAACGCTAATTTCTCCAGTACTAGACTAGCTCAAATATCTTCGTGTCATAGCGCATAAGCTCCATAGCAATACACTTAATATGGACAGATATAAAACCCTCTAGGTTCGTGGGGTGGCGCGTTGTCTGATAAAAGGTATTTGAAAAATTACCTCCAATGTTGGTGTCGCAAAATCTCGATGTTGTTTGACAGTTCACGCAATCCTAGCAACGTGCAAGCGGGTGCTGCGGTACGCGCGCTAACGGCGCAGGCATTAATCTGCTGACGTCACGGACCTCACTCTCGAAGTTACTTTTGTTGGATACACAGATGCGGCTGTTCTGCGTAAATTCAGTTCCGACGCAGTCTTGACAATTTTCGGTACTTGTTAACGTTTTTGTCGGGTGTGTATAAGAAGCAAATCACGACGCTCCACGTGTAGAACCGCCCACTAGGGACGAGGCAAACTGTTGTGAGTACTCGGTATTTTGTCTAAGGTAGTAGTGCGAGTTCTGCCGCAGTGCACACGTGAGTTTAGTTTTTGTTCTGCTTACAGCTACTTCTAGTTATTTATAGAACTGAACACTGGTACGCCTCCGTTTGTGGACCTCGCGGCCGCCTTTGGGTTCGGCTCTTTATTTAATGAGAAAAGTATCAGACAGTTCCTCAATGTAGTACAGCTCTTTTAATTCGACTGGATTCGGCGCTGCTCAGAGAATGAATCACTTTCGGCCGGTTACAGAGATGACTCGCCATTTGTCGCGCGCATGTATGCCCTAGCCGGCGTAAGACGCTCAGCCTTGCGATACAGTGAACATATGATACTGTCTCCATATATGATAATATGAACTCTGAAATTTCGATTAAAAAATACCAATTGACTAACTGTGCCAAAAGGCACTTAGTGTCTGATACGTCTTCGCTAATTAAAACCTAGAATTAAATGTATCTAATAATTATATACCAATCCGTAGTAGAGATAGTTGGACCATAAGAAGTCTTCAATGCTTTCTCTAGCCTACCCTGTCATATTTCGCTCCTATGTGTGGCACATAGCCCAAGAGTCAGATAATGTGCCATTCTGCCAACGCATATACAGAATGCACCGTATGCCTGCCCCAGCAGACTGAAACTTGCCTCGCTCAAGCGGATGCGTATAGATACCAAATCTATGATTTATATGAAGTACGATTTGTTGCTTTGAAGGTGTGCAAACCTTCTTGTCTCAATAATGTGGTCTTAGGCTCGGCCGCGCGCAGGCGCAGTCTGCGAGCAGCTGTATTTGGTGTTGTTTGGCCAGGGGCAGTGGGAGCATTGAGTACCCGGGGCATTCACATGAATGAGTAGGCTAGAATGTAATATTGTGTAAACTGAATCATAAATCAAAGGGGAGGATTGTGTTGCAGATGAGCATTGACCGCGCATTTCACAGGTGAAATAGAGTAGGCCTAGAGCAAACATTAGACTTTCTTTTTGGTACATTCATGTTTAATTTACCATAATTTTTTTTATTGAGACGTTCCAAGTGCCTGCTGACTACAGGCTGCGCTACCTGTTCTACATGCCCAACATCGATTTCTTAGACTGTGCGCAGATTTTTTTCGCGGGGTGTGCGCGAATCCTGCCGTTGATGGGAGGCTAAAACCGTAGTATTTATAGTAATATGAGAGGAAAAAAGTGGCCCGCCGTCAGGGTAGGACCGTGAGTTTTATAGAGATGGTCCGAGCAAAAACCTGTTGGGCTCTGGGGCGCTCCGGTTCGAACGCCCTGGCGGTCCGCACGCGCGATGCGATTTTTTCTCGTATCTTCACAAATTTTCGCATCTTTTTCCTGATCGATAGTTGTTGTTACCAGAGCGCTATTGGAAAGCTGCACGGAGCGAAAAATCGCTCGCGCTCCCGTGTATTTGTATTTTTTTTTCGCTGCTATACACCGACTATCACGAGCCTAGGTCGAGCCGTTTAGATTTGTGCCGCAATTCTGCATTTCCTCCCTATACCTTAAGTAAAGGAGGAAATGTTCCCCCTTCTTTTACACCTCTTGACCTTTGACCCCCAGCTTCGACATCCCAACTCGTTTTCGGATTACCCCCCCACGTCCCGAATATCGTGACCGTACGTCGAGCGGTTAAAATTTGTGCCCAACTGTTGACGGACGGACGGACGGACGGACGAACGCACGGCCGAACGCACGCACGGACGGACGCACGCACGCATGGACGGACGGACGATCATGCGATTCTACAAGCTGCATCTGACTACGTCAGATGAGCTAATAAAATTAATCAGTTACTAATAATTGTTATCACGTTTAATTTAAATCACAGCATACTAACCAGAAAACTGAAATTATAAATGTACCTTTTAGTTGTATTGATTTTTTAGTGACCCCTCTCCGCGTGTTTCATTCAGTGTACGGACGGACACACGAGAGGTATGCGGCGTAGGCCGTGTCTGTTAAGCTTCGGTCACAACAAGCTCACGACGCATTTGTGCCACGACACGACAGAAAATTTGGGCAAATCGTGGGTCAGCGGGGGTCGTCGCAAGACAGTCCTACAAAATTTTGAGCATCGTGGCATCGACTTGCCGTCGTGAGGCAAAATTGAACATGCACCTTTTTTGTTCCAGGATTTTTTGTGGTATCTATGTCTTCTGGTTGTCGTGAGTCTGTCCTACGACAGTCTTGCGACTGTCGTTCGATAATGCGTCGTTATATAGTCGGGAGACGTACGCACGAGTGACCCACGACTGTTGTGCGACAGTCGCACGACTGTCGCAGTCGCACGCGCATCCCACGAGTGAACCACGACCTGTTCACGTAAAAAACAGCCCCCCCCCCGACAATGCCCGACAACTCACGACTGACTTGCGACACACCCACGACATAACCACAACATATCTTTTTTTTCTGTCGCGTCCCCATCGCCAAACCATCTTTAATGTGTCGTAGCCCTTGTGACCACTCGAAATACATTTTGGCATGTTGCAAGATCTGGCCACGACAAATATTTTATGGGTCTACCACGACAAAATTTCGTACGATCTGTTGTGACCCGGGCTTTATAGACTGTAATATACAGTTTAAACAACACGTACTTCCTTGATATCTTCTTCAGACATATATATGTGCCGCAGCACTGCTAACGCTACGAATCTATGTAAACACAATAATTATGCACATTTCCATCAATCCTTTAATACGTTCAAGTTACATGATACAATAATATATATTTACGACATAATTAACGACTGAATAATAAGCAGCGTATGCCTGAAAAATAATTTAACAATTTATTACAGCACGATGAACACAGTCATTGATTATGCTGACTGGTATCAACAATATGATCAAATGTAGTTGCAATATCACAAGCAATCACAGACGTTAAAGGGAGAGTTTACTCTAGGTTCTAGGGTTATTTTCAGCTAATTTAGGTTATAAGTACGCTACATAAAAAGTTTCATGGTTCAATCACCATTAGAAATATTTTTTTTTAATGTTTTAAAACTAACGACTACAGTTTGATTACAACGACGGTGGCGCCACTCAA